CAAAATGCCTGACATCCAAAATTAAGGAAGGAAAGGTTTATTTAGCTCACAGTTTGTAGAGGTTTCAGTCCATAATCAGCTGGCTCCAAGGCAGGGTGGCGTGGCTGAGGGGCAACTGTTCATGGCAGCAGAAGGCAGCAAAAGCAACAAGAGCCAAAGGGGCCAAAGGGGAAACTCTTTCTGTCCCTTATATTGTACGCAGGCTACCTGCCCTAGGCTGGGTGTAGCACTCACAACCATCATCCCAGCACTAGACAATGAATCAGTGACAAACTCGATTCAGCTGTCTCCAAAAAGCCTGCCCCCATGATCACATGAAGCTTTGGGGGGACATCCGGACACAAACTATAACGGGAATATTCCAGATCTTCTCTACCAGCTCTTCGGAAATACTCAGTTAATTGTTGCCAACCTTAGTGTTCCTATTGTGGGGTGTGTCTTGTTTCACAATTATTTCAGACACTCGGCTTGTTGAAAGCGGGGGTGGATCTTGTTCTTACGCTTCTCTGATGTCAAGCGTGACCTCTTGCGCACAGTAGATGCCAGGCAGTCAGCACATGCCTGGGGAGTTTCTCATTGAGCCAGACTGTGCACCTGGTAGGTGAACACAGGTCCGAGGCCCTCAGCGTCCCAGCGTGTGGCCCACAGGCACAGGTGCTACGGAGGTGCTAACGGGGCCCTGCTGTGAGGGTGTTTCTCTTTTTTACCTCTGTGTGTGTGTGTGTGTGTGTGTGTGTGTGTGTGTGTGTGTGGTCTTGGGGATTGAACCCATGGCCTGTCAGATGCTGGGTTTTCCTTTGGATACATGGTACATCTTGCCAGGCATGGTGGTGCATGTCTATAATCCCAGAAGCTTGGGAGGCTGCGGCATGAAGATCACAATTTTGAGGCCTGTCTAGGCAACTCTGAGAAACTATCTCAAAATAAAAAAATGGAACTGAGGGTGCAGCTCAGTGGTAGACTGTTTGCCTGACACATGCGAGGGGCTAGGTTTGATCCGTAGCACCATCAAAAACAACTAAAAAAGAAAGCAAATCTTCAAGATAGGAATTTTCTTTTTTTTTTGGTTTTTCTCCGGTACCGGGAACCGAACTCACGACCTTGTGCTTGCCAGGCAAGCACTTTGCCGCTGAGCTAAATCCCCGGCCCCCAAGATAGGAATTTTTTTAAAAATTAAAAAAAATTTTTTTGAGACAGAGTCTTACTATGTGGTTCAGGTTTACCTTGAACTCACTGTGTAGCCCAGACTGGCCTCAAACTCAAGGCGATCATCCTGCCTCAGCCTCCCAAGTGCTGGCATTACAGGTATGTGCCACCAACACCAGCAGGAAATTTTATTTTATTTATTTCGTGTTCTGGTACTGGGACTCAAACTCAGGGCCTCATACTTGCCAGGCAGGTGCTGCGTGCACCACTGAGCTACATCCCTGGCCCAAGAAATTATACTTTTTAAAGAGAGTTAGTTTTGACTGTAGTGAATGTAGGCATACTGGGGATAAATTTAATGTTTCAGAAATTTTTAGAAGTGATTTAAGGCATTGTTTTTAGGAGGGTGTTTTTTTTTTTTTTCATTCTGTGAAGAAAAAAGGTTTATTTAGCTCATAGTTCTGAGGGTCCGAGATCTGGTGACATTGGTTTGGCTCCCGAGAGGACCTGAAGTCACACGTGGGAAGGGGAGCTCACCTCCCGGGAGAGCCGGTGCTTTGTTTTTATTTATTTACGTTTGTGGACTGAGGATGGAGCCCAGGGCCTGAGGCCCGCAGCCCTCACTGAGCTCCGTCCCGGCCCCGAGAGCGAAGGACTCAGCGTGAGCACACGGGGTGCCACTCTGCCTCCCCCGAGTTGCTTGCTCCCCTGTGTGCGTCCCCTCGGGGCTGCAGGGCGTGGTGGTGCCGGCAGGTGAATTCATGCCTCGGGCACGTCTAGGCCCAGCCCCCGCTGTCTCCCGCAGTAGCTTCCCACAGGGACAGTTCCAGCAGTGTGGAGCAATTTTCTGCGGGGACACACATCGTTCGGGAAGTGCAGCAGCCCGTGTCGCCGTCAGAAGGACTTGCCCGTTGGTGACCATAATCACGCAGCCAGAGCCAGACACAGGGTTTCGGTATCTTGTCTCATTCGTGATCACAGCGGTCCGGTCCGGGAGGTTAAACACTATTTATGGGAAGGGGGTATGAAACTCTTATAACCCAGAAGTAATGCTAATTAGAGAAAGCTCCGTTCCCTCACGTCAGGGCGGTGGGGGATGTGGTCCCAGCACAGTCCTACGGTCAGCCCTCACTGCCCGCGCGTTCCGCATCCGGATCCAGGCATCCAAGGATCCAACACAGTCAGGGAGGTCATTGCATCTGAACTCGTGCACCTTTTTTCCTGTCATTGTTTCCTGCACATTTACTCGGTATTGGGTATTGCAAGTCACGTGGCTATGACGTCACGCCCACGGGAGGAGGTGGCTGGCCTATTTCAGTGGCACAGTGCATGGGGCCTGGGCTCTGTCTCTAGCAAATACAGAAATGAATAAAATGAATTACACGGGGTGATGTGTGTAGGTTCTGTGCAAAGGCTGTATCATTTTATATAAAGGGACGTGAGCTCCTTTGGGCATCCCGGAAGCAGTCCCCCTCTGGCTCTGAAGGACAACCACAAAGAAGAGGGCTAATAAGCCAGTCGTGGTGGTGCCTGCCTGTCGCCCCAGCACTCGGGGAGGCAGAAGGATCACAAGTTTGAGCCCAGCCCAGACAATTTAATGACTTACAGAAACCCTGTCTCAAAACAAAAAAAGGGCTGGGGGTATAGCTTGAGAAGGCCGTCAGGTTCAATGCCCAGTGCCACAGGAAAAGCAGCGCCCTGCTCCCCTGTACCTCTTCCCCAGACAGCTGGTGTCGCTTGCTTCCTCCTTGGCCTTAGGTAGGTTCTGTGTGGTCCGTGTTTCTCAGGTGGAAACACGGCTGGCGAGGTTAAAGGATTTGCTGTAGGTCAGCACGGCAGAGCTGGCTATAATTTGTCCACTGCCAGGTTTTCCTCCTAGTTTGTATGCTGTGGCCTTGGGCAGATTGCTTAACCCCTCTGAGCCCGTCTCCCCAGCTGTACCAGGAAGTTAACATATAACATTCTTCTCAGAGAACTTTCCAGAGACTCGAGTGAGACACTGCACAGAAAGCATGCGGTACTGTACACACTGGGCTAGCATGACCGAGGCCCAGGGTGCAATTTCTGCTACTGAAAAACGAAAGAAGAGGCAGTTTGTGGAGAGTCTGGGGTGGAGGAGGAACTCGATATTCACTGTTACTGTTACTACCTCCAAGTCAGATATCGCAGGCTCAGTTGGACATGGTTATGCATATCTGTAATCCCAGCTACTTGGGAAGCTGAGAAAGGGTCATGAGTTCAAGGCCAGCCTGGGCAGTTTAGTGAGCCAGTGTCCCAAAATAAAAGGAAACAAAACACTGGGGTCAGGGTTCATTGGGAGAGCATTTGCCTGTGTGCTCAAGGGCCTGGGTGCCATTCCTAGTAACGCGCGCGCGCGCACACACACACACACACACACACACCCTCAAGCTCTTATCCATTCCCTCCTTCACTCGGCATCGGGCCTGTAACAGGAAAAAGTTTCTGTCCTTGTGGTCACATAGAGCTTAGTCAAAATGAGCATCTTGGTCAATAAAAAATTCCAGCGGCATAAGTACTGCAAAGGTGTCACAGGAGCGGGTTTGACTTCAGTGAGGCCAGAGGTGGCAGCCCGAAGAGACGGTGCGTGCCCTGAGGCTGAAGGACCGAGCGCCTTACTGACGTAGGAAACGGCGTGTGCAGAGGCCCCGTGGTGGGGAGGGACATGTGTGCGCCTGGCGGCGGGAAGGAAGGCTGATGCGGCCATACCAGCCGTTCCTTACCTCTGAGTCCCCTGAAGGCCTCCTGTGCCTTCTGCCTGCCTGCTCACCCGTGCGGCTGTGGACAGAGAGGTGAACACACACGGGGCTGGCCTGCGGACGGGATGGTGTGAACAGCTGGGCTGGGCCCTTAGCATTTGGGTTGGGGCTGGGCGTGCGGGGGGCACACGGCCTGAGTGTCTGCAGGCGCTGGCTCGGGGCTGGAGGCCCGAGGCTGGGGCCGGGGAGGGTGGGCACCAGCCCCGCAGTGCCCTGGCTGTGACCTCCTTCCCTCGCCAGGTGAAGAGGATGGGCGAGCTGGGGCTGCTGGCCATGGACGTGCCGGAGGAGCTCAGCGGGGCCGGCCTGGACTACCTGGCCTACTCCATCGCCATGGAAGAGATCAGCCGGGGCTGCGCCTCCACCGGCGTCATCATGAGCGTCAACAATGTGAGCTTCCTGGGTCCCGGGACATGCGCTGGAGTCCGCGCTGGAGTCCGTCCCGTAGGTGGGCCTCTGGAGAGAGCAGCCTTGGGGTGGCCTCCAACCGCCGCCCACTCTCCCCCAGTCTCTCTACCTGGGCCCCATCCTGAAGTTCGGCTCCCCGGAGCAGAAGCGGCAGTGGGTCACCCCTTTCACCAGTGGCGACAAAATTGGCTGCTTTGCCCTCAGTGAACCAGGTACTGTGGCCCTAAGGTGCCTCTCCCTCAGAGTTGGGGTGACAGGCCCAGATGGGAGCTGGGGACCCGGGGTTGAGGCAGGGCTTGGGGCCCCTGCTGCAGAGCTGGGGGACTATTGCTGGTCAGCCCCCAAGCAGGAGGCGGGGCTCTGGCGTGGGCCTCTGGGCCGAGCTGCGGCTGCCTGGATCTTCTGCGGCCTGCGGCCCTGCCTGGGGTCCGGGCAGGCGGGGAGAGGTTTGGCCCTGGGGTCCTTTTGGCTCCTGCACAGGACCCCGTGCCCTCCGGAACCGGTGTGGAAGCTGTCCAAGGACCAGTGTGGGCTGCTGTGGCCGCATCCTGGCTTGGGAGTCCAGTTGCAAGGGGTGGCGAGGTCCCCGGTGCTGGGTCCTGAATCTGCATGTGGGGCAGGGAACGGCAGTGACGCGGGAGCTGCGTCCACTACGGCCCGGGAGGAAGGGGACTCATGGATCCTGAATGGCACCAAAGCCTGGATCACCAACGCCTGGGAGGCCTCAGCCACCGTGGTCTTTGCCAGCACGGACAGATCCCTGAAGAACAAGGTGGGGGCGGGGAGGCCAGGCCGACCATCTGTTTGTGGCTGGGAACCACCCTGCAGAGCTGCTCCTGCCCTGGGGGACTTGGGCCTGCCCCTGCCCTGCTTTCTGCACCGTCCCTAAAGCCTGCAGGGGGTGTCCTGGCCTGGCCAGAGAGCCCAGGGAGGGCCTTAGAGCTTGTGTCTGGACTGTCGGTGTCAGGGTGGGGCAGCCGCTGAGAAAGTCACTCGGCATCTTGGGGCTTTCAGGGTATCAGTGCCTTCCTGGTTCCCATGCCAACACCCGGGCTCACGCTGGGGAAGAAGGAGGACAAGCTGGGCATCCGGGCCTCTTCCACGGCCAACCTCATCTTTGAAGACTGTCGCATCCCCAAGGAGAACCTTCTGGGGGAGCCAGGGATGGGCTTCAAGATAGCCATGGTGAGCCTGGCAGGGGGCGGTGCCCTGGGGCCAGGCCCTGGGCCCCAGCACGCAGCCACTGACCGAGAGGTCCCCACAGCAAACCCTGGACATGGGCCGCATCGGCATTGCCTCCCAGGCCCTGGGCATTGCCCAGGCTGCCCTGGATTGTGCTGTGAACTATGCCGAGAACCGCAAGGCCTTCGGGGCGCCCCTCACGAAGCTCCAAGGCATCCAGGTAACCAGGGCGACGTCAGGAGCTGGGCCTGGAGGCCAGGGAGGAAGCTTGGCCTTCACCCTTCGGAGCCCTCCCTCGCTGGCCTGCCCTGGGGCAGGGAGAGCACCTGCTGACGGTGGGGCCGGGCTGTTGCAGTTCAAGCTGGCGGACATGGCCCTGGCCCTGGAGAGTGCCCGGCTGCTGACCTGGCGTGCTGCCATGCTGAAGGACAATAAGAAGCCTTTCACCAAGGTGCCTGGGGGCAAGGGGCGCCCAGAGCTGTGGGGGCGGGAAGGGACCCTTCAGGGGAGGGGTCTGGCTGGGCAGAGGTGGGCTTGCGTGTCTACTTCGCCAGGGCAAGGCCCCCACAGGCCCAGCCCCGCTGAGGGGCAGGAGCCGGGGCTCCCCGAAGTGAAGTTGCTGACTGCCACCCCTGCTGGTTAGGAGTCGGCCATGGCCAAGCTCGCAGCGTCAGAGGCCGCCACTGCCGTCAGCCACCAGGTGAGCATCCGCCCTGCTCCGATGCGGGCCCTGCCCCGGCGGCGCCTTTGTGTGGCTGGCTGCGCAGTCTCTCCTCGTGGGTGGGGAGTTTCCGCCTCCTGAGCCCGCTTTCCCTGTCAGACTATTCAGATCCTGGGCGGCATGGGTTACGTGACAGAGATGCCAGCCGAGCGGCACTACCGTGATGCCCGCATCACCGAGATCTACGAGGGCACCAGCGAGATCCAGAGGCTGGTGATCGCCGGGCACGTGCTCCGCAGCTACCGGAGCTGAGCTCCTCTGAGGGCAGCGGTGCCCCCTGCCAGCCTTGGACTGTGGGAAAGGGGCCGGCCGCATCACCCTGACCCCGGTCTCTGCCAAACCCTTGGGCACTGACCCGTCCCTTTGGCCCCTCAGGGCAGACCCAGCCTGCCGCCTGCCCTGAACGCTGGCTAGAGGGGCTGTCCTGCCCGCTGGCCTCGGGCCCCCAGGTGAACCTGCACGCCAGGGAGTCTCGGAGAGGAGGGTGAGCCCCTGCGACCTGCCACAGGACATCAGCCGTCTTCAGCGCGGAAACGGGCTCTGCTACCTCTTTGCACACCAGCAGCGGGGCCTCACTCTCGCAGCCGTGGCCGGCGGGGCAGGGTGCCTTCCTTCCCTGGTCCCGGTGGGCCTGGCCCTTTGCCCAGGTCAAGACTTAGGAGGGTGAGCGGTTGGCGCCCGAACGGCCAGGCCTGCGTGGGCTTCGGAAGTGTGTGCTCCGGGGCCGTGGGGCCGCTCTGCAGAGGACGGCTGGGTGCGGTGTGTGGTCTGCTGGGCACGGGTGGGAGCTGGCTTGCAATAAAGTGTATGTGTCCGACCCAAGGATCTTTCCTGTGCAGGCCCTGCTAGGATGCCGTGTGTTGGAGGAGGGTAGGTGTCCGGCCCCAAGGCTGGGGCTGGGAGGTGGGGCTGCCCGAAAAGGCAGCTCAGGAGGGCGAGGAACTGCATCCTGCCAGCCTCGGTGGTGTCTGGAGAGTGACCGGCAGGGGGGCCAGGCAGGCCATCCAGGGGAATGGAAGTGGTGGGGGCTGGGACGGGCATGGGCAGGAGCCCAGCGCTCGAAGCCACGAGACCCAGGGAGGAAGTGAGGACTTGAAAGGCCTCCCCTTTTAACTGCAGGACTAGGGGCTGAATCCAAGGCCTTCACGCTGAACTGCATCCTTGGTCCTTTTTTATTTTGAGACGGTGTTGGGAAGTCGCTCAGGCTGGGCTTCAACTTTCGATCCTCCTGCTTCAGCCTCCTAGGGTGCCAGCAGGAACGGCGTGCAGCACCACCCCCAGGTCCATGTTTGAGTGGTCCAGGGCGCCGGCCCTGAGCCCAGGTGGGGCTGGCTTTGGGCTGAGGCCATGAGTGAGGCAGCTGGGAGAGGAAAGTGCGGCAGAGTTGAGGCGGGGGAGCCCCCAGCACTGCGGGGAGGAAACTGCTGGCATCGGCATCGGCATCGGCATTGGCATCGGCATCGGCATTGGCATTGCTATAGGTCTGGGGACGAGAGACCTGTGAGCCTGTGAAGCCAACCTATGGGGCCGAGGGGCCACCTGGAGCCGCCACCATGTGAGGAGTGTGGTGCCAGGTGCCTGCGGCTTGGCCTGGACCCAGGAGCCGGTGTGAGGGGCGGCTGAACAGGGCCGAACTCCCTCGTGCCAATCTAGGTCCTGACCGCTCCCAGCCGCGGGCTCCCTCGGCGGGGCGTGCAGGCAGGCCGGTGGTGGCGGTGGTGTCTTTCCTTGCTAAGAAGGTGCCCCGAGGCTCTGGCAGCCGCTTCCCTCCTTGCTCTTGCCGAGGTGCCCTGGCTCCGGGGGAGCACGTGGAGGGGCTTGGTCACAGCTCACACCCTCTCCGGGTCTTCTGGATCTGCCTGTCCCCACCCAAGGGCCAGCCAAAGGCTGCCCCACCCTGCTTAGGGACATGTGACAATCTGTCACCCTCTGAGTCCCAAGCCCACGCGGGGTTCCTGTGAGCCCAGGAGCAGAGGGTGTTCAGAGGGCTCCATGGCCTCTCCAGCCACGTGGCAATGACTTCTGTGGGTCGGGGGCCAGGTCGTTGGGGGAAGGCTGCCTTTGTCCCACTCCTCCTGGTGCTGGGGGACAGGAGGAGGTGCCGGGCCAGAGCGGAGCAAGGGGAGCCCACCTGACACCTGTGACCTTAGGACGGAGCGGGCCCTGCTCGGGACTCTGGCTCCTCCTGGCTTGGTGCTCAGGCCCACAGGCCCTCAGCTGTGTCCTCCCTGTCTGCTGAGAAGCGTCCGGGGTTGCCGGGGCTTGGAGGCCAGCAGGGAAGGGGCCGGCTGCTGCAGGTTCACTGTCCCAGGAGCCCAGCTGGGTGTCGCCTCTCAGCGCTGCCTGAGCGTCATTTGGCCTCAAGGCAGAGGGCAGGGCCTAGCGGCCACATTGCTGTCCATTTCTTGTTGCGGTAACTGAGGCTCTGAGCTGAGGTCACCTGCTACCGGGCGTTAGGAGCTGTCCTGAGTTGGAGATCTGTGTGTGTGTGTGTGTGTGTGTGTGTTGGGGAGTGGGGAGGTCACAGGCTGCAGCTGGCCTGTTTGCTGAGGACTCTACCCCTGGGTCTGTCTGAACTGGAACTATTAGAGTGGGATGTAAATATCACGCCCTTTTGCACCTAATTTCTTCAGTGTGGGTTTCCTAGGAACAAGGACATCTGCTCATATTACCCACAGGACAGTTGCCAGGTCAGGTGTCCAATCTGCAGGCTCTATTCAGATTTTGCCAGTGTCTCCATGTCTTTAATAGCAGGGTTTTTTTACATACCAGGCATTGTATTTGTTTTATTTGGTTGGTCAGTTGGCTGGCTTTTTGAGACAGGGTTTTGCTATGTAATTCACTCTGTAGCCCAGGTGAGCCTCGAACTTGCTGTGAGCCTCCTGCCTCAGCCTTCTGAGTGCTGTGATCATGGGTGTGTCACACCTGGTTTGCATTTACTCTCACTTTTATTCTAGGACAGCGCCTTAGACTATTTGGTTTTTGTGACGTCGGCATTTTTGAAGTGTGCAGGTGGGTGGTTTTGTAACCTGTCCCTCCATCTACATTAATCTGATGGTTTCTTTCAGATTAGATGCATGGGACATACTGTTGGCAGTGGTGGTTACTCCTGAAGGAGTATTTGCAGTTTCTCTTTTTCTTAATCTCATGAGACCTCTCAATTACCGATGCAGTACGTCTTTCTAAGGAACTGTTGGCCTGGTGCCGGTCAGAATTCTGTTGTCACAGCACATCTGAGGGCTGCGGGTGAAGCCCAGTGTAGAGCAAGCCCTTGCCCCTCTCCTGTCCCCAGCACCACAGCAAATTGTAGTTAGTATTCTGTGTGTGTGTGTGTGTGTGTGTGTGTGTGTGTGTGTATTTGTGTTTTTTTTTTTTTTTTTTCAACTGAAAAGAGCCACCAGGCACTGTTTAGGTTTCTCTTCCCCCGATGTTTTTTTTTTTTTTTTTTCCCGGTACTTGGAATTGAACCAACGACTTCACGCTTGCCAAGCAGGCGCTGTGCCACTGAGCGAAATCCCCAGCCCCATGTGTGTGGATTTAATTTGTTTTTCTTTTCCACCTCTGTGGGATGGATGTTTTTCCATTGTTTTCAGTCTTTTCCCTAATAAATGAATTTATTTGAAGTTTGTGCTGGGAATCGATCTCAGGACCTTGCGCTTGCCGGGCAGGTGCTGTGCCACTGAGCTACGTCCTGGCCCCTAATAAATGCATTTAAAGTTATACATTCCTAAGTGTAGCTTCCGCATCATTTTGTAACTTTTGAATGCCGTTCCGTCCTTTTCACTTGGTTTCCAAGTTTCATTGTAGCTTCTCTTTTGACTTATCAGTCCTTCCGAGACGTATTAAAAAATGAACATGGCAAAAAAAGAATACGGCACACCTTCCTTCTTCCCCTGCATCTGTTTATTATTGCGGCGTATTAGCACACGCGCGTAGCGTGCGATGCGGAATCCCCATGGGAAGCTGGCGTGTGCGCGCCCAGCCCCCCACTGGGACTGCAGTCATCAGGTGCTGCACACATGCACTAAGAAGAATAAAAATTGTTTAAAGAATATAAATACGGGATTTCCTTGGGTATTTTTTGTTACGGATTATTAAAAAAAAACCATGACAGAGCTTACCACTTGAATCGGTGTGCAGTGCTTAGCTCAGTGGTCTTCGGGCGGCCCGTGTCCTGCAGCCGTCAGCCCTGCAGTCCGTGAAAGGAAGTTCCAGCCCATCGTTGTGCATTTTTACCTTAAGTGCTCTGTGGTCGCAGAACATTTTTTAATTGTTGAAGACGTTTGAAATTTGTTGGGGTTTGTTCCAGGGCCCCAGGTGACTTTATTAGTACTATGGTGCACACGTGTATGTGCGCCGAAGCGAGCGCTCTACTGGCTCGCGTTTGTGACGCGCACACTCGCGTTCATTGGGAGGGCTCCGCGCGTCCCAGCTCACACCCTCTTCGGATCTGAGTGAAATGGGGGGTCGTACTCCCCGCTCCACTATCCCCTTCTGTTTCCACAAAATCGATGTTTCCTGTCATCTTTTATTTTGTTCTTTGAATTATTTCTATTTTGGGTTTCTCATATCAGAGAAACCATTCAACATTTAACCTTCTGCTCACTCTTTAAACTGCTTGAGAAGTTTCCTGAGTATCCCGCAAGTGCTTCAAGTACCTGTTCCAGGGTTGAGTCACTTGCCTTCTTGGGGGTGGCCGGGGCCCCTGCGCATCCAGAAGCATCTCAGTGCGCGCCGCCCCCGCCCCGCGCGCTCCCCGAGACGGCTTCCTCTTTCCACCTCCCGTCTCCCACGTCAGTGCATTCACATGACTCGTTCAAGTGTCTCACTCAACGGCTGGTTAGACGTCCAGTCCCGCCAAGTTGCTCTAAAATTTCCACCCTCACCAGCTGCTGGGCCCCAGTCTTCTCCATACCAGGCATTAGCAGGTGCTTGTATTTGGGTCTTGCATTTCTGCAAAGGCCAGTGTGTTAAAGGCTTGGGCCCCTGGATGGTGCTGTTTGGGGG